AGGCACAGGTCAACGAGGCCACCAAGGCCAGAATCTCCAAATCCCTCCAGGTAAACATGTTGGATCAATTACAACTCCACTAGTTCTTTGTTGTTGTTTTTTTTTTCTCCCTGCTAATGTCCATATTGTTTGTGTTGTTGCACAACAGAGGACGTTGCAGAAGCAGAGCGTCACGTATGGAGGAAAGTCGACGGTCAGAGATCGCTCCTCAGGAACCAGCTCCAGTGTCGCATTCACTCCTCTACAGGTAAAAACAAGCAACTTTTTTTTTTTCTCTTTAATTGAAGAGCCCCTTAGGGGTGGATCTAGAAAACTCTGGATGGGGTGGCCAGACTGGGGCACAGACTCAGAGAGGGTGGTACATTTGAAACACATGTAAAAAGTAAATAAAATCCCTAGTTCTATGAATAATAAACCATAACAGCATTTGTGTAAAAATGAGAGAGACAGGCTGACTTTAACTGTGCTCCTTATTTACTCCTGGCCATAGAGGGTTGGGGTTATTTTGACTCTGGAATGGGCAGCCCCCTCAGAAGGTCTGTTCTGTTCTCGTCCACAGGGGCTGGAGATCGTGAACCCGCAGGCTGCAGAGAAGAAGGTGGCCGAAGCCAATCAGAAATATTTCTCCAACATGGCAGAGTTCTTCAAAGTCAAGAAGGAAGCTAAGATGTGAACACACACACACACCATCGCATGGACTTTTGAAGTAAATACTGCAAATAATTATATTTTCAAACGCTGACATTTTGCTTCAGTCTGTATTTTTCTTTTTTTTAATAAAATGTGAACATTTCAATGACAAGTTTTTTTTTTTGTAGGGGTCACTTTGCATTACATTTGTTTTAGCGATTTTAACGGATGCTTGTAATAACCGTTTTCCACAAATAACTGCACATATTAAATTGAAACCCATTAGCTTGAGGTTGGTGGTACTACTTAGCCACCTCATATCTGCTTTTGATTCTCCAGTGGCACTGTTATTACAACTATCAATTTATCAGAACAGCTCAGAGCCCCGCTGATGGAACATAATCTATATTCTTTGTAGGAATGATGGGACTTTACACCACACACTGTCTTGTAATTTCTTAAAAGTATTTATTGAAATTGTACAATCCTGTTATAACCCCATCATGACATTTCCCATGCAAAACTGTGATGACAAAAAAAAAAATCGTAAATGTCTTGAAATTCACATTTTAGCAATTTAACTGACCTTAAAAGCCCAAAAAATAGAATCTATAAAAGGCAAATCTCAGTACTTTTTGATGCATTTTCTTTTTTCATTCTCATTCCCCCCTCCCTCCCCAAAAAAGCCTGAAACAAACTGTAAGCTGCAGCACAGATCTTAAGTTTTCATGGCTGCTTAAATGGAAAAATCTGATTCAGTTTAACACTCCCCACTTAAACAGCCAAGAAATGTTGGGATCTGTCCCACATCAGAACCAAAGCCAGATTAAATCTTATCTTCAGGTTAACACGTTAGCAACCTTGAGACGTTTTTTCGCTCAACCCATGAGGATTTCGGTTTTCACTCTACATGTAAACAAGTCTGTGTACATTCACTGTATAGGGTTCTTCCTTAAATTTTCAGGTGGTAAATTGAACACAGATTTTTAGGAAGAAGTAACATCAAAAGAATAGAGTAAAACCTTAACTGGGAAGTTGACTCAAACCAGATTTATTTTATCTAATGCTCTGTATTTTGTAACTAGATGATTTAGGTACAGGTAAATTTGCTGCACTGTGGCCTTTTGCATCGAGGACGACAATTCCTCAATGGTGTGAGAATCAAACATGAAGTAGATTAATGTCTCAAACCCTATTTTAAACATTTATTTTACAAGTTTATTTTGTCACAAACATGAATGCGCCATAATAATTCATTTTCTTTGACAGGTTAACTTAAAAACATTTTATTTGTAAAGAGAGGGAGTCAGAGACCAGTTCAATTGCATAGCAATTTAATCCATGT